CCCCAAAACCCCAAAACCCCAAAACCCCAAAACCCCAAGCACTATAATATTTATTGAATAAACCTTAGATACACTATGATGTACTCTTTCGCCATGATGAACATTGAAGAAAACAATATGATGAAGTCTCTAGTAATAGAAAAGGATAAAATTATAAACTCTTTAAAACAGTCTACCAAAGATTTAAAGGAGGGCAAGAGTAAAATGGAAGAGCAGATTGAGACACTTGCTAAAGAAAATCTACAAATGAAGAGTGATGCCAGTAAGCTTAATGATATGGGGTGTAAAGGATTTAAAAATGAAAGAATATAGTATTGTTGGAATATCAAAGAATGCATTATTGCTTTAGAAAATTTTTACAAAAATTATGAAGAACAAGGGCTGAATGTTGAGAAAGGGATCTGCTCTAAATTCATTAGGATTAGGAGAGCATTTGTGTGATAAAACTTTATTCATATGCTTATTTTAGTTTTTACATTATTCACTATTTCATTGCATCTAAAAATCAGGTCCCTCTTGTTTAAATAGCAGATAAGAGTCAAGATTTATGTTTCTAGATAGACTTTGAAGAAAATTTGTTTTTATCGATATTAACTGTCTTTAATAACTAAATTCATAATTCTAATAAATAGAATAAAATCAGCAGTAGCATAAAGGAAGAAAAGAAACAAATCTGAGAAGAGAAGAAACGAATCTGAGAAGAGAAGAAACGAATCTGAGAAAAAAAGAAACAAATCCAAGAAATAAAGAAACTAATCCAAGAAGAAAAGAAACAAAACAAAGAAGAAAAGAAATTAAGCAGAAGAGAAAGGAAACAAAAGAACAAAAATCAAAGAGAAATAGCTGCTCTCAATGAAAAAATTTAAGTTACTGACTCAGAAATAACAACACTTTAACTGAAGAAAATATATCCCTAGATAAAGAAAACGAGTCTTTAAATTCCAGCACATCATACCTTAACTCTTCCATTCATACCTTAAAAAACCAAGTAATTGCTCAAAATAACGAAATTGCCAATCTATCCGATTCAGTCAGCTTCTTCAAGAATCAAACCCAACATCAATGAGAGACAATAGCTAAACTCCAAAAGGAGGCTGGAGAAAATACTACTGCAATTTTGAAGGCAACTATTGAAAATCTAACAAATACAATTGTTGAGCACGAAGAAACTATTGAAAACTGAAATAGAAAGATAAAGGTAAGTGACAAAGCTCTTTGAGAGGGGGTGGGATAATTATGAACAAATATTTTGGATTAGAGGGTGCAGGTTGGTACTCAATAAATATAGAATCAAGCTAAACAGTTAGCAGATCAAACGAATAAATTTAATAGCCAAAAGAAGCAATTGAACCGCTTTAAGAACTTAAATAAAAAGAATACAAAGGAAATTGAGAAAATGAAGAAAGAAAAGGAGGAAAAAGATGAAATTATAGATGGAATAATGGAGAGAACATCTGTGATGGAGGCTCAGATTATTCAAATTGATGAATTAAAATCTGAGATCCAAAACAAAGATCAAGAAATTGAGAGCCAGAAGTGCTTACTCAGAGAAGTACGAGAGAAAGCGGATGATAGTAGCATGAGTCTTTCGTTTGGTAAAATGTTTCAAAAGAAACAGGCTGAAATATTTTCTATTAACAATGCTATATCTCAAGCTTTTAAAAACAAGAAAATTCCAAAAAGTTTTTTCAAAGAGACAGATCGGAAAGGGATTAAAAATCCTCAATCTCTGATAAGAGAGCTAAATTCTAAAATCTCTGCTCTTGAGAAGCTCAGTGAGGAGCTTCAAGATCATCCTATCCAAGATTCCCCTGCTACAGAAGAGCTGATTTCCCAAATCGAAAAGATAAGATCCTACTTTGAATGTCCTATCTCTCTTGAAAACATAGAAGCACCTAAAATATGCCCATCAGGTGTAACCATTGACAGTAAGAGCTATAAGAAGTTGGTTGAAGGTAAGATGAAAGACCCGTTCTCTGGGGAGGATTTAAGGAAAAAACCTATTGCTAACAGATTTATGGCAGCTGTCATAGAAATTTTGGATAATTTACCTAAGACCTCCAATTATGAAGAGACGAAAGAAGATATTAGTGGATAATCTTAACGTTTCAACGCTCAGGCTTGACTTGGGGTTTTGGGGTTTTGGGGTTTTGGGG